CTCTCAGACTGTGACAGACGTGTTGGCTTGGCGTGGCCCTATTTTATATTTTTTTAGTCAAAAAGTAGACAAAAAATTCGGCCAGCTTACGGCACGTGCCTTTTAATGTATATTTTCTAGTTAAGTTGTTTATTTGTTATGATTGACGCACCTCTTGAGTGCCGCTGAATTTGATAGTCTGTATAGAGTCAATACAATTATTATTATTATTATTATTATTACTTTTTTTTTTTTTCGTGAACAATGGCTTTTGTTTTAGCCTCTCACTAGCAGTCTTTTCATTGGTCAGTTTATCCATCCAATCACCATCCAGCTTGTGTTTTAGCCTTTCACCCATTGGTCAGTTTCCACTATCCAGCCTCTCTACCCAAACATAGGTATTTCCCTGTTTGGAGTGTCTGCAGATCATATTCTCCTGAAGACGATTGAAGCATCTCAATCGAAACGTCGAGACTTTCTCAACAACAGAACTACTTACGTGGTGTACCGCTTCAATGTATATTATTTCTTCGCCATGCAAAACTTTAAGCAATACATTATTATTATTAATACATAGCCGGGGGCGGGGGGGCGGTGCACTCCCACTTTTTGGCAAAAAATATATAATGCCTGGAGATTTTTGTATGATCGGAAAAAATGCAAGAAAGGAAAGAGGGAAGAAGGATGGGAAAGAGAATGTTTATCCAGTCCCCGGCCGAGTTACATTTTCTCGCAATTCAAATTGGCGGATCTCGGGTAGGGGGTCATGGGTCCTTACCCCTCCCTTAAGCAACAAAAAAGGGTGGAAAAAGAATTTTAGACCTACCTTTTCAGGACACGTAAGCTGATTTTTCTTATGTTACAATAAGAAAATTAGAATTTCGAAGAACATAAACGTCATTAAAACACACTTCAAATGTCGGGAAAGCTCATTTCCCGCCATCTAGGAATCAAACTTTTCCCGTTGGAGAACCCCCGGACCACCTTTTCTTTTTGGGATTTATCGATTCATGAAAGAAAACAATACGCATGCAACTACTCATTTATTATGTATGTATACACACATAAAATAAAAAATGATAAAAAATTTTGAAGGACATAAAAAGTCATTTAAAAGACATTTCAGAAGTCAGGAAAGCTCATTTCCCGCATTCTAGCAATCGAAATTTTCCCTCGGGAACCCGGACCCCATTTTTCTTTGGGGTTCATTGATTCATTATTTTCGAAAGGGGGAAACCTTGAATTTTGAAGAAATTCAAAGTAATTAAAAGACAACTCAGAAGTCGGGAAAGCTAATTTCCGCCGTCTAGGAATCAAAATTTTCCCGGGGGAGAATCCCCCTTTCTTTTTAGGATTTATGGATTCATGGAAAAAATCCTATGCATGAACTTTAATTAAAATCGCTAAAAGATACTTTAGAAGTCAGGAAAGCTCATTTCCCACCATTTAGAAATCCACATTTTCCCAGGAAGAACCCGAACCTCCCTTTTTTGAGTTCATTGATTCATAATAATTTTCAAGAGGGAAAACCTTGAATTTTGAAGAACTTAAAAGTAATTAAGACACCTCAGAAGTCGGGAAATGTTATTTCCCGCCATCTAGGATTCAAAACTTTCCTGGGGGAGAACCCTCCGACCCCCTCCCTTTTCTTTGGAGCATATCGATTCATTGAAAAAAGAATACGTATGCAACTACTAATTTTTTTTTATGTATGAGAAAGTTTACCTGACCGTTTTCAAGAGGGGGAATACCTGACCGTTTTCAAGAGGGGGAAAACCTTGAACTTTGAAGAACAAAGTCATTAGACACCTAGCTCAGAAGTCGAGAACGGTCATTTCCCGCCATCTAGAAATCAAAATTTTCTTGGGGTAGGACCCCCGGATCCCCTTTCGTTTTTGGGAGAAATGTTGATCCCACCCCCTAGGTTTGACTCCAGATCTGCATATTGATGCATATTCCCATTCATCTTATAAGTGCCCCCCCCCCCACTTTGAAAAACGTTCCGCCGGCCCTG